AAAAAAATTACTAGAAATGAACAAAATTGATTTATAAGTGTTACAAAATCAAATGTTGACGAAACCAAATATTTCAATGAATTTTAGTTAAACAATACTAGTTATTTAGCTAAAGATATCCTATAGTTTTGAATTATTTTAATGAAGTTTGTGCAGTTATACTTGACATTTAAAATTGTATTCAAAATTTCAATTTCTCAAATATTTGATGATTTTTTTGCAAATGTTAGACATTAAAAGTTCAACCTTCCTGGTTTAGTCATTTGGTTCTACTACTACGTCAAAAACTATTAGAAACATAAAGTCTTTCATCCCTTTTATTCATATTTCATATTTTTGAGAACCTGGTAAATTAAATTTAAGCTTAAAAGTTGAAACAAAGCGGAATTTTTTTTTTTTAGTTTTTCAATGTATAAATTTGATTTAAAATTTGATGGTGTCATTAAAAAAGTAAAACTAAATTCTTTTTTATAATATCTACTGCAAAGCTATAATAACTTATGAATATACATAATATACATGTTACATGTAAGGAATAATAGGCTTTGGAGAACAACTATTTATAATGATTACACGATATAATCATACGCGTGCCAGGATACTCACGGTCAAAAACACATTAAAATAATATTAACCTCACGAATGTGGGACGATGAAGACTAAAAGGGATGAGAATAGTAGTAAATAACTACATCCAAGTTGATAACACACAGACGGTAAAACCAATGTAAATTACCATCAAGTCATGTAACATTAAGGCTTAAACGGTGATGTTAAAAATGAGATCATTTCCCTAAGTCCTCATAATAAATACAAAACAATGCATTTTAAGTTTATATAATTATGATTTATCACCCAGAGTATCTAATTGATGAGCCGAGTTCGTTTGAAATGTTCATGGAAAATTTTGTAAACTAATTAAGTATACAATGTTAGTCATTTTTTTTATATTTTCAACAACGGATAACAATTGGTTTTTGACAAAAAAATAAAATTGAAAAATATGAATTAAACGATAAAAAAATGTAAAGGCTCGTTAAGTAATTTTAGTGTTTATGCATATTACGTCTATATCGAGTATGAAATATAAAGTAGACGGCAAAAAATACATGAACACAATTTATACTAACATTTATATTTTATATAAATTGAGTTGTGTTAAGTTAAGTTGAGTTTTAAGCCATTCTTGCATTAGAAATCCGAAGACTTTCATCGAATATTTGACATTTTCTTATAGTAATTCATCTCGATAATTATTTATCATTATTATTTTCAAACCTTACGTTAGTATAAAACGTCTATCCTCTATTATAATCAATTGCTCACGTTCTATTAAAGTTCTTGGTTTTCACGTAATTTTATCCAACATGAGAGTTTCTAGAACATTTTGATATAAGGCTTCTCATAAGTATCTACTATAACGTATATAATTTAGTGATGGGAACGAGACGATTTAATATCACTGTACGTTGATCGTGTTCCCCGTAACATGTATAATTGTATTTGGGGTGAGGGTATACACATAACTGCGGTGTGGTACGCGCAAAACGTGCACGTGTACGTTTGATTTTATTCAATTTTTTTTGCTTCAAGTATGCTTATATAGTAGTTTATACGATATATACGAAATAATCGTTTGGCAAAAGCCGCGCACGTGTTGAAGGTACCGTCAAGAAGCAAAGTTGCGTTAACTATATATCGATATTATTATTATTATTATTCTGCCAAAATTATAATAGTTGTATGTACGTAAAGTGGTTCGTGGTTAGGGGTTACAATGAAAATAATTCAGAGTAAAAAAAAAAAAAAGAAATGTTAATACTTTGAAACCTTTTCAGCATAAACCACTTGGTGCCTATGGTGGCGGCAGTGGTGTGTTTTCACTCCCGCGAATGCATTATTACTTAAATTGTTTACGCTAACCCCCTCTATCCCGTTAACGTCGAGTGCCAATTAAAAGTTGTATACCTCATTCGATAGAGTTATTACATCATACATATCCTACGATGTATAGTAATAACATTACGCCGATTGTTGTGCACACGCATGTGTATCGTTAGAGGTTCCCTTGTATAGTTCCGCGTTATTATTTATGATTATATATAATTACACATTACGCTGCGATGGCACAGAGAAAAACGGCGCGTGACAATAAAATCGGCGTTTTGGTATATTTACGCGTGGGCGATCTGAAGTAGCAGGAAATTATTTCTTTCTTTGGTGCACCGCTTTCCGTTATATCAACTCCGAGGTTTTTCGTTTTTCTTTTCATGTACGTCGCAAAAGGAACCATAGTGCTTACGAATAACACGTGACGTAGATCAAAAATCAAACATTAATGGTACATTAAGCTACTCTAATGAAGATGTATAAAGTTTATTGGTAAACTAGTTACGCAGAGCTAATGTATTAATGTGTTAATTATATATAATATACGTATGGTGTGTATATGTATTCGTAGGAGTTGTGCTGCGTACAGGACGGTTCAGCATTGTTTTCCAATGAAAATATTTTCGTAAGTATTATATTTATTTTATTTAAGTATAATTATTTGGTAGGAGTCTTATGAAAAATGAGTTTTTCTTTCCTGAAGCAGTTAAAAAACAGGACATTTTAAGATTTTACCTGAAGTAGGCCCTTACAATAAAATTACATAAAAATCAATTTTATTTATCAAGATATTTTTATCGGGACAACATGTTGGGTAACCCTGTATTACGTATTTCCATTTAATATACTATCCTTTATGTTAAACGGCGTGCGGGATATAAAGCGCGTTTAACCATAGTTGAATGTTCGTGAATAATAATAATATATTATTATTATCAAACATTACACTGAACACCGTTGGTGGGAATCAAATGTCTACACATCAAACATAATTATGTTTTTCTACTGTAAACACAGTTTTTTAAAACAATATTTGAACTGCGTTGGCGCGAATTCCAATCTACTGTCTCTCTCGGTCTTTGTGACTTTCTATATTCGGCTATGATCCGACCCGTGAACAAATAGATGATTGCGTTCGGTAAATAAATCCTATAAACGTTTCGAAACTTCAGCACAGGTGTACGTGTGTATGTGTGTGTGTGTGTGTGTGTGTGTGTGTGTGTGTGTGTGTGTGTGCATAAATATTATATTAATAAAATATATAAGTACAGGTATAGTAGACACGAATGGAATTTATTTTATTTTTATAGTGTACGTACGTGTGCATATATTCGAGTACGTTCGCTCTGAACAGTCATTACTCATCCGTCCATCAGAAAGTATGCGTATACCAATAGGTACCGTTTGACTAATTGATCGATCTAGTTTCGAACGAATTATCGTATGTAAAATATAGTAGCAAAAATAATAATACCGGTATCAATATAACCGGACGGATGATGACCGTGATATGTGTGTACAATATTTATGCGTGCACTCATTTTTTATCGATTGAAGGTGTGACTGCTGCGTGCTGCAGTAGGCGTACACAACGATTTATCATTGGTGATTGATAAGGTGTTATTCATAGACCAAGGTTTCGAATAGGCCATGTTATATAATAACGTACACACACGGGCACTTATGTTGTACATAATTTCATAATTTCGAAAAAATTACCGTGCTGCAGTCATCCGACTTAAAAATCACCCGTCGATACCATAATATTACTACGGTACAGGTTCGAATGCGTTCGGACGGTACACACGGCATATGCACACGATGTACTCGGTGTAAAATTATATTCACAACAGATCAATGATATCGTTAGGTGAGCACTTCTGCTTTTGCACTGCGCTTCTGCTGATCGAAAAGACGATTTTAAATGATGTTGCTCACGCACAAACACACACAAATTAAATTAAATTAATTACATCATAATATGTTTATAAATATACAAATACACTCTCATATACGAGTGATTCCAATGTACACAGTTTTTTTGATCGCCATTGCACTTGTTTAAATATTATGTGCATATTAAATAAGTATACTCTACTCGCGCGACGATCGTTTTTTTTCCGTTAAATTGTTTTCCTAGTCCCATGTGTACCGTATGCGGTTAAGATGCCGCTATGGGCTCGTCATCGAACCTCACGTCCATATTGTGCACGACGTGTTTGCACGTTATTATTATTGCGCGACCGAACACACCGCTGAACACAACGCGTATATGCAATATAATATTGTGTACAGACGATCGGAAGTAGAGGAAAATAAAACTAGTCCGCAGGATTACCGACGACAAGTACGAGGACATGGCGTCTTATCTAGAGTACTAGGGGTGCCCCCGATGCATTTGTATACGATTGCGTTTGTACGTCAAATCCTCTAATGTGCACGGAAATAAGTATGGATAGTTATTGCGCGAGTACGCGTCCAATATACGGTGGAATCCGATGATTCTTCGAAAAAAAAAACTCGTTGAATCCCTAGTATTTTCATCAAAATTAAATAATGTATATTAACATGATAACATGATATCATTTTACGGTAATAAATAACAAATAGTATCAATAAAATTATGTTGGTAGGCGACGTGCACATACTTTTTGTATGTACCTTATCATTTTTTTTTCCGAAAAACTGCATAAATATTTATGATTATTTAAAGAATCAAAAATGTCATTGGTACATTTTCGGTGCAGATGTGAAATTCGACAAATAATACTGAAAACAACAATTGTTATAACCAAAACTTTATTTCATCAATCTTTTGAAAGTTCTAAAATTAAAATACTATTATACGAACATAAATTAATAGTACCTATAAAATTATCTCTGTAATTAGAAATGTTTTTTTTTAACGAAAATTTCATGGATGCATAAAATTTTTGTAACGTATAGAATTTAGTTTGAATAGAAGTTCGAGACTATGAGACTATATATTCAACTCACCTGCAGCTGTAATGTACACAATGACGACCCGATATAATGACGCATTCGTGCGTGTGCCGGGCAGGAGCAAATAATACAAGTGAAATTTAGTAATAGATATAAATGTAAGGTACCTTTTTGTGCTTGGCCATTAGGTTTCTGACGAATTCGACTCGTGTCATCTGATCGTGACAATTAACCGCTACGGATCCGGTGTACTGTGGAAAAAATTAAAAAAATAAGAATAAAAATTAATAATACAAGTAAAAAAAACATTTATTTTATTACCTAACACTTATATTATAGTGTGATGCATGTCACACACACGCGTACAAATATATAATCATATACCATAAACATATATATATATATATATATATATATATATAATATTATCAAGTGCAACAGATAATACCGTGTCGGCGTGTACATGTGTGTGTGATACGTGTATACGAGATGACCAATTCGTGCGCTTATGTTATATATTATTCCCATTTGACCGCTATACGCGTGAAAGGGCTATCCTGAGCGTGACCATTGGGGTAGCGGTAAGTGGAGAGCACTCGTGAACTGTGATGTCCATAAAATATTTTGTATATTATTTATGTATGTGTGTACGTACTCGAAAGGCAACTATTTATATACGTGTAGGTATCACACACACACACACACACACACTAGTTCCTCGCGTATTTTTCCTCCCGCGTTCGTTCCTCACATTATACGTTTATATTATTCTATCCCGAAGACGACGACAAATCCATATACTTGTATATAAATATTATTTTTACAAATCTTCGTGTATACACATTGCTCACGATTATATCTACTGCCTCAGCGTGGCACATTTCACGCAGAGATGGTTGTATGCAAGCGAACCTGTTCACGCGGGTATTCAAAATCCATTAAAAAATAAATAAATAATTAAATAAAGGAATAAAAAAAAAGAAGAAAAGTTTTTTCACCTAATGGTCGTGTCACCACAATTTGCACCGACCGACGACTGTATTTGTTGCACACACACACATATACACGCACAACTATAATGTGTGTATTTTAATCTCAAAAATAAATAGAAGACAAAACTATGATGTATTGTTTAGCAATTGCGACCATACTTATGATGTTCACAGAGTGCGCGTGTAATGCAAGTACTTACGTACTTCGATAGTATTACAATGGGAAGTAGTATTTGAGGTGTAAATATACGTATAGAAATTCCATAATAAACGAAAAAATTACAATTAAGTAGTAAATAACAGTGTACATCTTTATATATTGTTAAAACGTGAGGCGATTTCTATAGACAGCTGTATTTGTAGTTCTGATTTTCATGATTTTCATGATTTTTTTTCAAATGCTAGAACTTGGTGTGCAGATGAGCCATTTAATGAGAAAATACTGAAAATTAGGTAATAAAAAAAATTGTGATTTCCTCCTCATGTTTCTATTCATGGTCGACTGTTGTAAATTATTTATATTACTTATTGTACATACTGTATAGATCGTAATTTTTCAAATAAAGCCAAATTATTTAAAAAAAAAAAAAGAATTGTTCTACCGTAGTTATAGTTTTTTGCTTTATTTATTCAGTTTTTCGTGTAGTAGCGTAACGACGAGTTTTTCTATTTTTGATTCTAAATAAATATTCTATTACCGATTTTGTTATTTCACGTACAGCACTGATAACTGATAGAATATCAATTAATTCCCATAATAAGGGATAGGAATTGTTTATTCTATTCCGTGGTATATATAATATTTGTTTGGTGCGCAAGAAAAACATTGAAATATTCGAAAAAGAATTGTTGATTTCGTGATGAATAATTGGGAAATGTTAAAGGATTTGTCATTGGTGATCTTTCAAGTAGATTACCCAATTATAATTATAATGATTACGAACATTTAATGAGTATAGATGGCGAGTTTGCTGGTCACTTCAAATTTGAATGCATACAAATAATATCAAATTACCAAAAAGATATAATGAGTATAATTTATAAACAAAATTTTAAAAAAAATAATACAAAATTTAATTGAAATGAGTTATCAATTTTCTTATATTGAGTGGAATATTAGCAGTTTTCTAATTTGTAAATTTCTTGCTTATATCTATAAATGTAATTAAAACTTAAGAAATTAAATAATTTTCCTAAACATTAATTGCACATTATTATAATAATATATACTTCATTTATATTTTTTTAATAAATTATTTATTATTTATTTATTTATTTATTTATTTAATTATTCAATTTTTTTTTTTTTTTATTGTAACTCAGTATCGACGGTAATTCAGCTAGTGATTGTTAGTAATCATCACGTAATAGTGTCGTTGACCCCCCAAGGGATTCCATATTTTAATATCTGTATTATGTAAATATATATACATTACAAATACGTGGTTGGTACACATGTGTGCATGGTGAAATAAAAGGGTTGATTACTACGGCTTCAGGGTGGGTGCCGGGAGAAATCGTTCAACGTGATCCGAGAACCGCGTGTTGCTTTTCAATTTCGATTATTTTCATGTTTAATTTTTACGACCAAATTGTTATTTTATGATATAACGTATTTTGTTTTACGTGCATTCATAATAAATGTAAGGTTTTTTTGGGGACAGGATATCCCGATCGGAATTCGTGACAAAAATTCGTAAACAAACTTACAGGATCTGCTGCAGGTCATTGGCACAAGATGTGAATTCCATAGGTTTTAAAAATTAAAGCAATACATTTTAAATTTTTTTCAGAAAAACAAGTTAATACATTATTATATTTAGTTAGCTGCTACCGAACAACAAAATAAACAACCGAAAATCTACAAAATAAAATCTGTGTAATCGGCGGTCAATTAGCAGTCGTTTATTATTGGAATGATGTATGACTCCGGTATTTTCTGGTCTCCTGCAGTGTAACAAATTTCAACGTTAATCGGATTATTTCTGCAGCTAATGAATTTTCACGTAAAGCTTTATTTAGCAAAAATTGTTTTAAAAAAAATAGAAAAAAATAGAAGCTGCTAGATCTGCACGTGTCAAAAAAAAAAAAAAGAAAAAAAAAGAGTTTATGCTTATAAAAGATTTATTTTACTGAAAATAAGCAAAATAAATATGCTTATTATTTATGTTTTCTTTGAAATTTACACTGAACTGAATAAAGTTTAAACGCGCACCGGTTTGAAATAATTGGTAACCAAATATTATCGTTTAAACAATATGAATAGTACATACCTATAACCAATACAAAACTGTACAAAATAATATACACGGTAAGACTGACCGTCCTTTTGTTTGGCGAAACAAGTCAACTCGATATTTCTAAAAAAAGAATAATGTAATATAAAGAAGGAGACATGATATTACAAACGACACGAATTCTGCAAGTAAATCGCCCAAAAAACAAATGGTAGTGTGCTCACAGAATCGCGGAGCATTATGAATCCACAGCTGTTGCTGCTGTTACTGCTGCCCCGCAACGGAACCGATTTGGCGAGTAAATTACGACTGCACGATCCAACGAACAACAGGTTGTGTACCTCTACACGATAAATATACGATAAGGTACGTATGTAAATGTGTATGTAAATATAATATACGCCTCGCAGCCGTGTGTTTATATTATGATACGTGTCGGACGTGATCAATTACACGTGTTTCACAAAACGCGCTGCAGAGTCCAGTTGAAAAACGATCTCGTAATAATGTTACGTAGAAAAAGCCAATCAACGCCCCCGCGGTTATGTTAGTAGTTATAATAATAATGAAAAATCGGTAGGTTTGTATACGGTTCGAGTACATAAGTCGCGTACTTCGGTTTCCGTTACGCGAACGTTTTGTTTTGAACGCGTAGCGAACATTGTCTAACGTTTTCAATTGTTCGTGATGCACACAACATTTTAGACCCGTGTTAGTAGAATTGAACGCATACACAAATGAAAATGTGCTACCTTTTTGAAAAGTGATTTTCTCAAGTAGGTATAAACCGGTTTTACACGACGTTTGTATTATATTTTGTAAGTTACCGTTATTGTGATTCCGATAAATAATTCATTTTAAACGTAACATTATTAAATTCCTCGATAATTGTACATAAATCTATTTAATTAATTCATTAAAATGAAAAATACATTTTCTAATCGGCGAAACGCTTAGCGAGTCCTATTTTGTGTTCTTTAATAATGTTTCAATAATTAGAAAAATATTTACCACACGCTTTCAAATTACATAGTAATTTACTTCACTTGTTTTCTTACAAAAAGTGCATCGTATTATAATCAAACACACACACACACACACACACACACCTTGACACGTACGTGTTGTTGTACTGTAAGGAATAGGCGTGTAAAAAGCTAACAGTTTACGTGTATCGTACTAGAAATGTATCTTCGTCGAGAGATAATCACGGTTATAACTCGCGTTTAGCGATCGGTTCCTCTGCGCATCGTGTAGGTAATCATGAATATGCTGACCATCATTATAATAGGTACATAAGTTCCGTTCTCTCTTGATTTTTATTCCCAATTTTTTCCGTTCTGAACGAACGTGCGCTTGCACGTTCAACATAAACGCCACGTAATTAAAATATTTGCAATACACGTACTACACAATCTAACATAATTTTTGCAAGATTAACGATGTCATGTTGAAACCACTGCAGGGCGGCAGCGAAAAACAATGATATGGTTTATTATTTTCCCTTACACTCCTCTTTCTTTTTCGCTGTATACTCTTTTCTGATCACAAATTAAACCGATGTAGACTTTTATCTGATTAAAATTATCCTTCTATGAAGTTTTTTCGTAATATTGAGATTATGTTAAAATTTATCAAAAGTAAAAAGTCAATTTTTTTATCGCTTCAAACTTTGAAATGCGAGAGATTAGAAATGAGAGATTGGTTCTTTTCTTGAAACTTTTAATTAAATTCTTTCGTGGTGAAATAAATATTTTTTATTTATAAATCTATATAATATAAACATAATATAAAACAAGATATTCATTGAATATATGTATATTGTATATATGTGTATATTTTGCGTCATTCTATTAATTCTATATAGCTTTTCGAGTGTGATGTTTTTTCTCGAAAGTCATAACAAAGGACTAGGTAATAATTATTTACACTCAAAATCAGTTTTACTTTCTTACAGGAGGTTCTGTTTTCTTAAACTTAATTTGGACACGCAAAAAGCCCAACCCTTATTTTAAGGACATA